CTCCCTGCTTTGGGTGCCTTCCTAACTACCCTCCTTGGAGCAAAGGAGGACAGTTTAGGTAGACAGTTTTTAATTAATAAGAACCTTTCCTTCCAGATCTTCTGTGGTTGTGAAACATTACATTACTAATAAGTCCAAAGAGCATCTGTGGAACTTTAAGAGTTAAAATTGCCAAGTATGTTTCTACAGAGAGGGATATATTTTGTATATTGAAAATATTTGTATATTTTCATATCTAGAAATACAAATGTATATGCACACATGTTAGTTTATGCGATACAAGGGCTTGTCTTTGCACACAAGAAGCAGGGCAGGACCAACAAGGGCAGGTGAAGGAGACTGAATGACACCCTGCCCAGCTGCTCCCAGGACCCCCCAGCAGCCAGCAGCCTACTAGAAGCTCACCCCTGTGCGCCTGATGGGGTGGGGGAGACCCAGCAGCCCTGCTGGGGCAGTGGAGGCCTCTGGCCCAGCCACTCCTGGTGCCACAGGAGTCCCTGGGAGCCCTGGGACACATCAGTAGGAGAGGCTCTATGGGTCGAGGTTCCCCATGGGAATGGGAGACAGAAGGGGCTGGTGGGGTGCAAGCAGGGGCCATCAGTCCACGTGCTCAGCCTTGCTTGTGCCAGCCACTGCAGCCTGTCCTGTCTCCTCCAATTAAACTCCATTTCTGACGGTTTTCCTGGTAAGGAAAACTATTGTGCATGCACTTGTGTGTGGAGGTCTCAGTGCCAGCCCTGCTGTGGGACCAGGGGTCCCATGTGCCCACAGTGCAGCACCTGCAGCAAGGGTGGGTGAACAAGTGAGCGTTGCAAGCACTAGTGAATGACACGCTGGACTAGCTGGCATGTGGTGAAGTGGCCTGGGAGCCACATACGAGAGCACAGGCAGCGCTGGCTCTTGGAGGGACAGGGTAGCCCTGGCCAGATGCTGCAGACACATGGCGTCTGGGGCTGTCGGAGACCCGTCTGTGTGCGCACGAAAGACCGTCTGTGGGAGGTGATGGGGAGAGCACAAGGATCGGGTGATAGGGGAAAGCACAAGGATCCAGGACCACCACATGGGCTGTGTCTAAGCCATCCACTGCGTGGGTGTGGGTGAGAGGAAAGGGAGAAGTATCTGCACCGAGGGCTAGAGTGGGGCTGTGGCCTTGGGGGCTCATGCCTCCAGCTGCCAACAGCTGGGTAGATTGGGATCCGGGGCCAGCTGAGTGCCTAAATCTAGCTGCTGGAGGGATCCTCAATGCACATATGTATGTACTTTGCACTAATAGACCTTCATCCTAATCAGCCAGTGAGGGGAACAGGATGAGGCCATTGGTGCTCTTTGTGCTTGTGCAAGTGCTGAGCGTCTGCCGTGCTGTTCTGTGGGGCTGGCACGTGTATGTGCATAAATGCACATCGTATATGCTGTGTGTGCTCGTGTGACTCTTGGAAATACGCTCTCAGCCTCACAGCTGGCTGGATTTGGTGCCATGGAGCTGCTGCAGCCTTGCTTCTATCAGGCTCCTGGATTCGACACATTTGTTATATACAAATGCATATTATGTAGTATATAGTTTAAAATATGTATCTGCATATATCTCTATAAAGATATATATCTCCATATATATATATACACAGATATAAAACTGCATGCATTTATATAGCTAACATCAAATGCAGTAAAATATCAAGAATAGTAACTCAGGAAAGGCTCGGGAGAAAAAGGCAACTTCCACAATACTTTCCCAGGACTGAAGCAAACCCCCAGGATGATGGGGATTTGGCAGGAACTAAACATGTTTTTCAATTCCATATAAAAGTACCACCAGCACAGCATCAGACATGTTTTGGGAAGGCATTGGTAAACCAAAGTTAGCAATCTTAAATTCTACATTATCTGATATTTCACTGTCATTGTTCAACCTAATTCAAACATACGAAATAACACTTTGCTTGCCTGAGTGACTTCTAATTGGAAAATGCAACGGGTGAGCTTCTTGTTTAAACTTCCTAACAGATTTAGCAAAATCAGCAGTAATTCATACCCCACACTTCCATGTGACTTTGCTGTTATATCCTGAAGTATCTCCAATAGGTATCAGACACAGTAAAGTGTACCACTCAAAATTGTATCCAGTTGCCTACTGTTTTCTCCAAGTGCTTCCTTCCCAGGAACTGCTGCTGAATCTGAAGAAGGCACACTGGAAAAATTAAGACAGATTTTTGTTTTTATTCCTCCCAGTGTCTGCCTGCATTCCACTAAAAATGGGTTTTTAAACAACTAACAAATTATTTTCTACTTTTTTTAATTAATCGTAACATCAATGACCACAGCCAAGCTCTAACTATTTTTACAATACTGCTTCCAATGCCTTTTATCAAAAGAAATGCTAGTCAACTTTGTTGTTGAGGTTGGAATATAGGGTAGATTTGTCTTACACATTTGTGCATGAAAGTGACAAAACACTGATGAATCCAGAAGATAAACATAAGTGTCGGTCTGAAAACACAGATTTAGGTTCTCTAAAATTCTTAAGTTTATTGATACTAGCAAAAACTTGTGAAGGCAATAGAAGGTTTGGCACTTCCTTGTCTGCACCATGAACATGTGTACTCGTTGAAGGATCACAGCATTTTTAACTTTTTACCAATTGAGGTGATTTTTATTTGTGTTCTCCACAGAAAAATGCAAACTGTGCGGAAGACCCATAAAAAAAGATATTTGCAAATAAAATGAGAGCCGCAATCAACTGAAATAGTACTGAGTCCTTTGCTGTATTTATAAAGAAATGCAAAAAGATGGTTGGTTTGTTTGTTTTTGTCAGGCAACAGAAGCTTTTAATATCTCTAGTCATTCAGACCTTCGACTGAGATTTATTAACCTGTCAAACAAAAGCAATTTTACAACATATACAATTGCAGTTCATTTCAGAACATTTATTGCTCTGTAAACAGAAAATCCACATTCTCCTTAAACAATCTGTCCCTTTTCTTCTTCTCCTTGAAGCAGGAAGGAAGGCATGGTAGAGAAAGAAATTCTAAGTGTAACGGAAAGAAGTATTTATGAACTGATAGACACAAGGATATAAAAAAGCATAAAGTTAGAAATTAAACCAGACCAGTGACTACCTCTATTGGAAAAAATCTTTGGTACCAGTAACTTACATCAAACAAATCAAATAGGGGCACAGAAATGAGAAACAATTTAAAGTGAAGGTGTTCATGACACTGAAAGGAGGATGGCCTCTGCCCAGAAGATGATGCAGAACACGCTCCCCATTTGGGCAATATGGATGGGAGGGGAAGGGGAAACAGAACATGGTCACATCTCTTTGTTTACTTGTGTATTTCGTGCTGTGCAACTCCTTAGCCATGAGTTAAAGCTAAAAGAAGCGTCAGGTTTGTGTATGATCTGCAAATCTTTAAACACAGAACAAAATGACACCACCAAGAAAATAAAAATAATTTTGGAAGGCTATTTGACTCATAATTTACGTGAGTAGTCTCTGTTGAGCAGAAGGTTAACTATAAAATTCTGTTAATATTTAGCATAATAATTCTCAAATATGTAAGGATTATGTTTGAAAAGTTCATTAAAATTAGGAAAGAAGAAAACAGAAGGATGATGATACACTTCAGGAAGTCCAGCAGAGGGCCACCAAGATGGCTGGGCATGTACCAACGTGCCCTATGAGGAAATGCTGAATAAGCCAAGCTTTACCAAGGTGCATAGTATGAACATGAAATAATGGTCCTAAATTGAAATAGCAGAGGTTCTGTCTGACTACATGTAAGGAGAGAAGAAAAAAACCCAAAACAACACCACACAAAAAGAAAAAAAAAATCATAGCAAGAATTATGCATTGAAAAATGTTGCGCAGAGAAGCTGCGTGGTCTTCACCCTTGGACGCTTTTAAGAACTTACTGGATAAGCTCAGAGCAACCTGGTCTGAATTCAGTACTGAGTTGCTCTCAGAAAGTTGGAATAGTTACTTTGCAAGGTTTATTCCAACCAGAAGACTCTACAGAAGAGTTAAAACAATTTATTAAGTAGCCCTAAGCACTCCTCTGCTGCAGTTTTCAATCCTTCAAAGCATTAAGAATAATTTCTAGAATACTACCAGTACACTATATGCTGACCTTTTGTACCTACCACATGTTAGAACAGTTATTACCTAAAGGAAGCCCTGCCTGTCAGACCAAAGGGACTTTCTCATAGACTCCACTTCCTGGCACCTCTGCAATACAAAGCAAAATCAACAGATATTTGAACAACTGAAAGATTTTTTTTCTACCATAAACTAAGATGATTCTCTGACAATATAGTCAATATTAGCTTTAGACATCTTTTGATCTCTTAGTCTATGTCCAGAAAATGAGGACATCCCATTTCCAGAGTCAGGGGGTTGAGGAATGTCATGACAGTATGGTGATGTTATGGGGCGAGACTTGTCCCAACAGAACTGCAATAGAAAATATGGGAGAAGATACTGTAGATCTGCTGTAGATCCTACAGTAGAAACTAGGAAACTAGGGTGAAAGTGCTCAAATGGCTCTGAGAGATTCTTAGAAAGGAGGGGTTTTATTAGGAGACTGAAACAGAAGGACTAAGATACCTAGCTGTAACATCTACACCTGAACTGGTTGTCTAGTCTCCCTTTATGGAGAGAAACATAATCCTAGGGAATGGGCTACTGCTGCCTAATCTGGTAGCCTGACAGAGGGGAAGCAGCCACAGCTCCATGCCACCTGGTAGAAACACTAGTTGAGGCTGAGCACGCATCCCCAGCAGGCACATGCACACCAACACATACATAAATGACCACATGGCTGGCCACACAGATCAACGCAGTTACACTCAGCACTCACATGAACCCACAGGCTCGCCTAGCTGGCTCTTCAGTAGTGCTCACACACTCACCCACCCACACACACTTGGACCAGCCACTGGCATTGCAGACACACGGGCCGGGCCCCTGCGACCAGCAGTCTCACACCAGGGGCTGGCACTTGGTTTCACTCGCCCCGGTCCCTCCGGCTGCTGGCTGTCAGCACACGGTCCCTCCGTCCCGTGGTCCCAGCCCAGCTGCCAGCACCCAGACCCTCGCTGGCTCCAGCTGCGCTGGCACCATGGGCACAGGGACCCTCGCTGGCTCCAGCCGCTGGCACCATGGGCACGTGGGCACCTGCTCTGTGGTACAACTCTGGTTGCTGGCACTCAGGTTCCCATACACACACGCAGACAGCACAGATGTCCCTCTGCCAGGAAAAGAGTTAGAAGTGGAGTTTAATAAGACAGGACAGACTGCGCTGGTCAGGAGCAGGGCATGGCCAGACAAGCAGGTCACCTATTTTACACACATCCAGCCCCTTTTTATCTCCTTATCCCTCTATTTCCCCATAATAAATCCTGAGCAATCCCAAAATGTTCTTCCCCTGCATCCCATACTGTGTGCCATCTCCCCTCAGTCCAAAAGGAGATCCAGCGCTGATTAACCTTGATGCATCTCATGGCTGGATGATTCACTTTGATGGCTCTCGTGGCTGGACAGTGGGGCTGAGGCTCTCCTGGGACAGGCTGTGCCTACCTCCGAGTCCTTTATCTGGGCTCCCATCTGCCTTCTGGACTTTGTGCTCCCCTGGCCTGTGGAGATGGGCCCTGATGGGCTGATTGCTCCCGTGGTGGGCCTGGGAGCAGCCAGGCAGGGTGTGACGTGGGATCCCCTACCTGCCATTGCCTCTCTGAGCTCTTTCATGGGTCTGCAGACAAGCTTTTATCATACAACCTAACAGCTGGATCCTGCGGTGGATCTTCCTTAGGATGTATGCAATTCTATGCAAGTTTATGCACCACATGCTGCTTGATTTCTAACATGCAAGACCAGCAATCCAAGTAATTTCTTTCACAGATCTTCATAACTAGGGCTGGCATACCATACACTACACTAAATATAGAAATCAATAGGAGAAAAAGAGATGCTCAAATCAGACATCCTATTTTTTTCTTTCTTCTCGATGCTGCTATTATTCCAATGTTCAGTCTGATCCTAAAGCAATACAGCACAGCATGTCACAAGCATTATCATGTCTTCATACTGCCAAGTAACTGAAATCCTTTTATTAAAATACAGCATTCTGTGATGGATTTCTTCATCCTTGGACTGACATTGAGCCTGAAGCTCTTACTAGTAATCACTTTACACAAAGCCAGATCACATACTAACTCAGACAGAGAAGCTAAGGACTCAATTCCCAGATTTTTAAAAACGGTGTGAAAGCTGGTGAGACTGAATTGTTCCTGCAAAGAATGGATACATTTCAAAATTTCTGAGAGAAACTACACTGAAAGTCTTTTCTGAATAACTGACTTATGGAATGTTTCATTCATTCTTCACTAACACTATATTATTAAAACAAAATCAGTTCCCAAAAACATCAGAGAAACAAGAAGGAAGTTATTCCACTGAATATTAATCATCTTAAAGAAATTTAAGGCTGTCATGCTTCCCATGATTTGAGAAGAGCAACTGATGTCATCTACCTGGACTTGTGCAAGGCATTTGACACCGTCCCACATGACATCCTTGTCTTTAAATTGGAGAGATAGGGATTCGATGGATGGACCACGCGGTGGATAAGAAATTGGCTGGATGGTCACACTCAAAGTGTTGTGGTCAATGGCTTGATGTCCAAGTGGAGATCAGTGATGAGCAGTGTCCCTCAGTGGTTGGTATTTGGAACGGCACTGTTCAACATCTTTGTTGGCGACATGGACAGAGGGACCGAGTGCACCCTCAGCAAGTTTGCCAACGACACCAAGCTGTGTGGTGCGGTCGACACGCTGGAGGGAAGGGATGCCATCCAGAGGGACCTTGACAGGCTGAAGAGGTGGTCCTGTGTGAACTGCATGAAGTTCAACAAGACCAAGTGCAAGGTCCTGCACGTGGGTCAGGGCAATCCCAAGCACAACTACAGGCTGGGTGGAGAATGAATTGAGAGCAGCCCTGAGGAGAAGGACTTGGGGGTGTTGATTGATGAAAAGCTCACAACATGACCTGGCAATGCATGCTTGCAGCCCAGAAAGCCAATCATGTCCTGGGCTGTATCAAAAGAAGCGCGACCAGCAGGTCAAGGGAGGTGATTCTCCCCCTCCACTCCACTCTCATGAGACCTCACCTGGAGTACTGCGTCCAGCTCTGGGGGGCCCCAGTACAAGAAAGATATGGAGCTGTTGGACCAGGTCAAGAGGTGGGCCACGAAGATGATCAGAGGGCTGGAGCACCTCTCCTGTGAAGACAGGCTGAGAGAGTTGGGGTTGTTCAGCCTGGAGAAGAGAAGGCTCCAGGGTGAACTTACAGTAGCCTTCCAGTACCTGAAGGGGCCTACAGGAAAGCTGGGGAGGGACTGTTTATCAGGGAGTGTAGTGACAGGACCAGGGGTAATGGGTTTAAGCTGAAGGAGGGTCGATTTAGATTAGATGTTAGAAAGAAATTCTTTACTGTGAGGGTGGTGAGGCACTGGAACAGGTTGCCTAGGGAAGTTGTGGGTGCCCCTTCTGTGGGACTGTTCAAGGCCAGGTTGGATGGGGCTTTGGGCAACCTGGTCTCGTGGAGGGTGTCCCTGCCCATGGCAGGGCGGTTGGAACTCGATGATCTTTAAGGTCCCTTCCAACCCAAACCATTCTATGATTCTGTGTACTAACACCACAGCTGTCAAGAAGAGCTGTAAATACGTATCAGTAAAACAGACTTCCACCACCCTACTCAAAGCCAACCATCATCTTTCAAGCATACTTGCTCTTCAGCTGATTGCTAGGATAAGAGAAAAATCAAGTGACAGGAGAAACGGACAGTAATAAATCGTCCAAATGCCTTAGAATTACTAGTTAATGCAAGACAGAATAGAAGATGAAACTCTGACATCAGTGTTTCTAATGAAAACCTCTGCTTTGATAGAAATGCCAAAGCATATATTTGCAGCTGACTTCTTTCCACTACCTTCATGAGAGTTTAAATTTAGACATGTAGCATCCTAAATGTTTGAAGAGTTTCGGCTGTAATGTTAGCCCTGTCACATCATCTACCAATCCACTTGAGACAGAATGCTTAGCCTCAAAAACGTAAATGCTTTTACTATTTCAGTATATATACATCATTAACTTATCTACTGTTTCCTGACTCTTCATCTACACTCCCTAAAAAATGTTTGGAAAAACGTTAAGGACAAATGGGCTACTGCACACTATTAACTCTTCGTAATTTATAATGAAGCTATATAGATTACTTAATGCAGTCACAAATTCAAGTTTTCATTTTCACCTTCAAGGCCCTATATTATCTTACCCACAATTACTGTATGTCTTGCTTTTATTTCCTTCTACTCCCTAGACATCTTCTATCCTTTCACTTAATTGCATTCTTTATCTCTTTCTCCCACTTTCAGCTGTATGTCTTATATCATGCTGACCTTTGTGCCTTGTACATTCTCCATGCCTACACTCTTCATCCTTCTTCAGTAGTATCTTTAAAAGTACACTCATGGTACATTCTCTTCTTCCTCTGCTTCCTATTGCTGAGCTATTAACTGAAATTTGTCTTGCTTAAACTACTTTTGCTCGTTGCTGGACCAGCGCAGCAGAGAATACAGCTGAAATCTAATGCAGAGCTGGCTGATTCACTTCTTAATTCTATCACAAATGACCTCTGTTAACTCTTTAACAAGTGGGACAAAATTGAGGGACAATACTTGCTTGTCATCTAAAATAGGAACTTGGAACCTTGTTCACTAAAAAAGCAAAAAAATTTGTTAAATAAACGCCAACATGTGTGTGTGGAGTGATTAGTCTCAGCTGTTTATATAGATCATATATATAGTTGTCCATAGCAGAATCCATGCCTATCATCCAGCGTACACAGATTTGGTGGTTTTTTTCCCCCTCAGGGTTTAACGTGTAAGTATAAACCTGATGTACACAGTGAGCAGCCGTGGCACACAAACATCAGAAAACTCAGGAGCATTCCCAGGTCTAGTAATGGCCATAGTATGGTAGAGTCATAGCATTATTCCTGACTTCTAGAACATCTGACTGCAGGACTCCCAGCTTCCCAAATTTCAAACATCTGCTCTACACAATGTAACTCTTCATGGAAGTTATCATATGACCATTATACTAGTTATTACTATAATTAGAAAATATTATATTCTGAGAAAAACATTAAAATAACTGCAAACACTTTTTGCTGAAGTTTAAGAAAAAAAATCTTCTCAATGAAAATTTTCTGCCCAAAAAGTTAAAAACTCACAACTGAAAGCAGTCTTCAAAGGATATATCACTGCTAATCTTAAAACTGGAAACACATCTACCTAAGATACATGATCACTCTTCATAGAAGAAAAGGTTTTGTTGGCATTCTCTTGGGATAACTGCATTACTGAAAGTGAAAAGCAGGAAGATAAGTTACATACTATTATGCTTTTTGCCCATGGCACTTTTTTTGAATCAGTAATATTTAGAGTTTGTAATAGCTTTGAAGCTCAGGACAACAGGCTGCAACCTCTAATGCTTCCACTCTTTAGTTTGAAGCTGCAGGATGCAACAATGTGTTCTGGAGACAGCAACTGAATGGATCACAGTGGCCAGGTATCTGTTCAGGAGAAAGAGGGTAATTTCCTAATGGAGGAAAACATGCTCTGTAACAGAAGATATTTTCAGTAATAGATGAAATCTCATCGGCTAGTCTTTGCTAGTCAGCAAGACCCTGAGGCTTTGAAGCAACTAAACTATGAAGTGAAAGAGTTACTAACAATAAAAACCATTTCTCCTTACCATGCTACTATTTTAGAAAGTAGTTGTAGATGCATTTTAAAAAATTCTGGTGTTAATCAGGGAATTATTGACTAGTAAGCCTTTCCTCTATACTTGGTAAATTCTGCTGATGACACAAAGTTATGTAGGTTAGCTGGGATAAGAAACCTGGAGTGACAAGGTAGTCTACTGGGAATTCAAGTGTCAAATGAAATAAAATGGTCAAGAAATGTAAGCAATACACATTAGCTGGAAAAAGATAAATGACATGTACATTTATAAGTACTGGACATTATTGTAGACAGCTCAGTGAAAACTCAGAGCGTGGGTGATAGTGTATATATTCATAGACATATATAATGCTGTCTCATCTGGGATACTCTATGTACTGTATGCCACATACATTATTCTTCATTAAATTTTTTTTGATAGAAAGGGTCTGAAAAAATGCAAT